TTTTTTTATACCTTATAATACACGATCTATCTTTGGTCTAAACATTTATGCCAGGAATTCCAGTTGTTGTAATATATTGAAGACTCTTTGTTTTTTAGGGCTAGGGTTAGTTTGTCCATTTCTGCACAATCTGAAATTTTCTGGATGATCATCTGATCTGTAGGTATGTGGGGTAGTTTCCAGCACTGAGCAAATGCTAGCCTGGCTGCTGTTAAGATATGTATTATTATATACTTCATCTTTTTTAATAATTGTTTGTCAAAAATCCCTAATAGGAAGGACTCTGGTTTATATTCAATTTGTTCTTTGGTTATCTCCTCTAGCCATTTTCTAACTCTTTGCCAGTATTTCTGGGTTTCCTTACATGACCACCACATGTGGAAAAAGGTTCCATCTATACTTTTACATTTCCAACATTTTGGACTCGTGTTGGGGTGCATCTTCGCCAACCTCGAAGGGGGAAGGTGCCATCTGTAAAACATTTTGTATGCGTTTTCTTTATAAGCTGCCGATTTTGTGATCTTGTTGTTTCTGTTCCAAATCCTTTCCCATTCTGTTAATGTAATACTCCGTCTGACATTCCTGCTCCAAGCTATCATATTTCCTTTGACTATCTCTTGTTCTAGTTCTACTTCCAGTATTTGTAAAATTTAGTTATATTTTTTTTGTTTGATCCTAATAAAATTTTATCTAAGTGCTGGAGTTTGTTATACATTCCGAAATCTTTATTATCTTGTTTTATATCTACTATGGATTTGGAGGTATAACCACTGATCAATTTAAAATCCTCTCTCTTGTAATTCTTTGTAGTCAAATAAGAGTCAATTTCTCAGCTGGACTTAAAATTCAAGCCTTTTCTACACTCATCACATTAGGCCATCACTCATCACTTTAGGATAAGGGTGCAATAAAGGTGGAATGTTTCCTGAAGCACCGTCCACACTCAAGGCACTTAAATGTTTTCTCCCCTGTGTGTATAAGGGCATGATTTATAAGGCTATCCTTAGTACTGAAATCTTTCCCACAGTCTGGGTACTTGTATGGTTTCTCTCCTGTGTGAGTCCTCTGGTGTCTCAACAGCTCAAAATTCCAAAGGAAACTTTTCACACAATCTGGACACTGATATGGTTTTTCCCTAGAGTGAATCCTCTGGTGTATCTGGAATTGTAACTGAAACTTTTCCCACAACCAGGACATTCAAATGGTTTCTCTCCTGTGTGAGTTCTCTGGTGTTTCACCAGGTTGGAATTCTGACTGAAACTTTTACCACAATCAGGACATTCAAATGGTTTCTCTCCTGTGTGAGTTCTCTGGTGTTTCATCAGGTTGGAATTCTCACTGAAACGTTTCCCACAATCTGGACATTCCAAATGGTTTCTCTCCTGTATGAATCCTCTGCTGTGTCACCAGCTTATAATTCCGACTGAAACTTTCCCCACAATCAGTACATTCAAAGGGTTTCTATCCCGCGTGAGTTCTCTGGTGTGCCAGCAGGCTGGAATTGTAACTGAAATCTTTTCCACAGAAAGGACATTCAAATGTATTTTTTCCCCGTGTGAGTCCTCTGGTATCTCATGAGTGGCAATTCAGACCAAAACCTTTCCCACAGATAGGGCATTCAAAGGGTTTCTCTCTTGTGTTGTCTTGTGAGGTGGTAATTTCCAATGAAACTTTCACACCATCTGGACACTCTTATGTGATAGGTGTCCTGTGATGTATCACCATGTTGCCATGCTCACTAAAATATTCACCACATCGGAAGCACTCGTATGGCTTCTCCCCTATGTGGGTTGTTCCATGAACCACAAGGGAGCTGTTCTGACTAAATCTTTTGTCATATTCAGATAATTTATATGGCTTTTCTCCAGTTTAGATCTTGCTTAATCAGCTATGATTTGCAATCTGTGCTTTTCCTACAATAAGCAGATCTATGGAGCTTTTCTACAACTGATATTCTTGAGGTCAAAAGTATGGATGATCCCTTATTCAGTAGTGCTTTGATTCAAGCTGTTCGTTTCTTCCCAGAGCAAGGCCTGCAACATTGTTTGCCCTATGCACTGTGCCCAATAAGACCTTTTCCTCCCCCCTAACTTCCAGATATTTCAGTCTTTTTCTGAATGAAAAATAATATTCCTTGATCTTTCATGCAATGTATCCTTGAGTTGCTTTCGTATACTCTCCTTTTTCCCGCTCAAAATCTCATGTTAGATTTCTCTCTTTTGTCTATCAGCTGCTGGAGAAGGAAAATTGGGTGGTTTTCTGAAGGAAATTGAATATATTTTGATTTCTGGATCAACGTTTTGATTTCCTTTTCAACGTTGCTTGTTATTCTCAGTTGTCCAGAGTGTTCTTATTGCCATCCTCTTTCTCTACAAGTTTCAAAGAAAAGTGTAACTTTAATTGTGTATAAAATGGTTGGAGAAGATGTGAAAAAAAATACATTACAGTGAAAAAGAAACATGTCACATGCTAGAATAACCTCTTACATTAATTATGATTCATTTGAAACATGGAAGACTACCAAGATATCTATTCAACCATGAAATTACTGTATATACTCGAGTATAAGCCTAGTTTTTCAGCCCAATTTTTGTGCTGAAAAAATCCCCCTCGGCTTATACTCGAGTCAGATTCCCCTCTGAAAAAAAAAATGGTGTGGAGTCGCGGCCTCCGGCGGCAGCGACTCCCAACAGCCCCAGCCGGGAAGGGAAAGGCAAAAAGCGCTTTGCCTTTCCCTTCCCGAGGCGGCGGGACTGGGGCCGCGCCGGCGGTAGTGACTCCTGACTCAGGGGGCCTCCGAGGGAGGGGAAGAGAGTGACTCCTGCCTCCCGCTGTCATCATCATCTTCTTCTTTTGGGTTAGTGAATCAATTAAACCTTTCATGATAGTGAGATCATTTCCCAAATTAATTATTTTTATTTTTGAAATTTACCAGTAGCTGCTGCATTTCCCACCCTCGGCTTATACTCGAGTCAATAAGTTTTCCCAGTTTTTTGTGTAAAATTAGGTGCCTCGGCTTATATTCGGGTCGACTTATACTCGAGTATATACGGTATGTTGTTGACTTGGGTCAATCACAAATTCTTAGCACTGCAAAGGGTTATCATCAAATATATCTGGATGTACTGGGGATAGATTATATAATTGTAGATGTATACATTCAGAAAGAAATGTCAGAGTATATTCATGAACTGGAATAAAACTTAGTAACAAGGTCAACCAATGAGAGCTGAATTGGGGGCTGAAACTTAAAGAGAGAATCTGGACGTGGTTTATCTCTGTTCTGTGCTCAGCTCTAAAGTGAAAGAAAAACTAACTTGCTTGCTTCCTGAAACTGTTCTCCTCTAAACTGCTGCTGCTTATGTTTTTTGCTTATGTTACGTTGAAAGAAACTACAAATGGTATTGTAAACTTTACCCATATTATGTTATATAAAAAGAAGTTTAATGAATCCTGCTGAGTCAGTCATCTGCGTGTTTTCTGGACTTGAATTTCTGCTGCAAACTCTAACAAGAAATACGGATACAAAAACCTGCAAATGAATATATGTGGAAGCTCCATGAGTTTTCATCCTGACAAAATGTCCCAAAAGGGTTACAGTCAAACCTTCTGAGCTAAATTTAAGAGATGTGGGGGCTTTAACTGATGAAATGTTGCCTAAAGCCTCTGCAAGATTTGAAGCACCAGTTTTGCTCATGAAAGTCCTCAGCTGCAAATAAAGAGTAGAAAATACTGCCTATAGTCTGGTGACATCCCAATTCAAGCAGTCCTAAGTTACTGAGTGCAATTGGGACTGGCTTCTGTGTCACTAAGCAGCCAGTCCTGAAGCCTGATGTCACATGACCGTGCTAATTTACATCTGTTCCTCTGCCATTGTTAAGCAAATCCCTGTGGGTTCTTAAAGGCAATTTCACAAACTGCAACTTGCAATTCCCTGCCAGCATTCCCACTAATTTTGCCTGTCAGAATCTAGCTCACAAATAGGGATCCTGAGTGTGAGATGCTGCAGCCATCATAAATGTGCAAAGATTGGCAGAACCCAAGTCGGTGTCTCTCCTCTTCCTACAACTTCATAACCACAGGAAGTGCTGACTTGTTCAGGTCACTAATGAACACAGATTTCTGGACCAGGTGTACACCTGCTTTTATAGTGTCACTGTAACTTTAAAGGCTCAGGGAAACAAATGGTAAGCGAGGACTACCTACACAACTGAACATCCCAAGGTTCTCAATAGCTTTTTTTTTTTAAAGAACAGTTGAACCTGGTTAATACAAGAATGCGGCACCAATAGAAAATACCGTGCTTATTGGCAAGACATGGAAATTAAAAAAACAAAGATCCCAGAAAAAGACTAGTGGCAGAATCAGTCCAATTTTGTTGCCAAGAGAATAGCAAGTCCATAACAGAATAAGTTATGAGTTGTAACGGACCTTGGAGGTCTTCTAGTCCAATCTCCTTCTCATATGCCTTATATCATTCCGGACAAATGGCTGATCAATCTTGTCTTAAAGCACGGATGTCGAACTTGCCATGTCACATTGCCATCGCATGACGTTTCGTGACGTTTTCCCCCTTTCGCGGAGCTGGGGTAGGCGTGGCCTGCATGTGATGCATCTGGCCCGCAGGCCGCCAGTTTGACAGCCTTGTCTTAAATTCCCTGTCCTTAAATTCCATTAGATTCCTAACTTTGTCATCCAAAAGGTAGAAGAGGGAACTAGGGGTCTCCTATAGTGATCTAAATTCTTACTGGCAGAGATGAAATTATAGAAGGGGTGGTGGTTTGAAATTGCAGGTAATTTGGAGGAGAGTGACCATGTCATACTGGAATTCAATATAATGCAGACACAAGCCATAGAGCAAAATAAAACTAACGTCTTAGACCAGTGGTTCCCAAAGTGGGCAGTACCGCCCCCAGGGGGTGGTGGGATGCCTTAGGGGGGCACTGAGAGGCAAAGGGGGCTGGCAGGGAGGGCGCTGGAGGCGAGCAGCAGGGCACAATTCAGGGGTGAGAAAAAATCTTGCTGCCGCCGCGTTCGAGGTGAGGCCCCGCAGGATCACCCCATTGACTTGCACGCTCCGGTGCAAGGAGCTCAACGGGGTGATCCCGCGGGGCCTTGCCCCGAACGCAGTGTTGGGAAAGGAGAGCAAAGACAGAGTGGCTTTGCTCTACTTTTCAAACATCCCGCCGCCGCCGTGTTTGGGGTGGCGGGGCCTCGCCACGAACGCAGTGTTGGGAAAGGAGAGCAAAGGCAGAGTGGCTTTGCTCTCCTTTTCAAACACCCCGCCGCCACCGTGTTCAGAGTGAGGCCCTGCAGGTCCACCCCATTGAGCCTCTTGCACCGGAGGCACCTGCCCAAGCAAGTCCGAACGGAGCGGTGCACGAAGTCAATGGGGTGAGCCTGAGAGAGGGAAAGAGAAAGGAAAGAGAGAGAAAGAGAGAAAGAGAGAAGGAAGAAGAGAAAGAGAAAAGGGAAAGAAAGAAAAAGGGACAAAGAAAGGGGGGGATGGAAGGAAGGGACAGAAAGAAAAAGAAATAAAGGAGGAGGGAGGAAGAGAGGGAGGAGAAAGATAATGAGATATCTATTCTAGTCCAATCACCTGCTCCAGCAGGGTTAGAAGGGAGTGTGTGTGTGTGTGTGTGTGTGTGTGTTCTCTTTGTAATTCACCAATACATTTTAGTTTTTCCTTCTTCAGAATTGGCACTGTAACACATTGGGGAAAAGTAATTTTTTAGGGTGGAGATCTGGTCCAATGGATCCTGTTTAAAGCCTCAACCAAATGTGAGAGCTTCCTGATAGTCTTGGCCATGTTTCGTCCACAAAACCTTTAATTAATAGAAGCCAAAGATGTTTCAATGTGCTGGCAAAGATGCTGGCAAAGATGTTTCAATGTGGAAAAAGGCTTCTAAACTAGGCCTCATTTCAATCTGATGCAACAGGTCTCTCTCTCTCCCTCTCTCCCCCTCCCCCCTCCATACCTCCATCCCCCCTTTCTTTGTCCCTTTTTCTTTCTTTCCGTTTTCTCTTTCTTTTCTTCCTTCTCTCTTTCTTTCTTTTTTTTCTCTCTCTTTCCCTCTCCCAGGCTCACCCCACTGATTTGGTGCACTGCTCTGCTTGGACTTGCTTGGGCAGGTCCCTCCAGTGCAGCGGGCTCAATGGGGTGGGCCTGCAGGCCTGGCACCTAGAACACGGCGCACTGCTGGCATGTTTGAAAAGTAGAGCAAAGCCAGAGGTCGGTAATTTTTGCTGCAAAGAATCACAAAAGCTTCTGGGTTGTGCACAAGAAGGGACAGACATGTCAATGCAATTCAGTAACATAAAATAAAGAAGTACAAATAAAACAAATCAACAAGAATTGGCAAAGCATCTCTGATTAGATTTTATTCACTACTAGAATCTAATCAGAGTTGCTTTGCTGATTCTAGTCCAATGACCTACTCCAGCAGGGTTGGAAGGGAGTATGTGTATATGTGTTTGCATGACTGTCAAAACTCCAAAAACAGGTCAAGTAGTTCTGGGGAGGCCAGTCATAAATTAGAACACTTGCTAAGCAATCGGCCATTAAGTGAGGACCACTTGTATTTGGTTTGCCAGTCACCAAACCACACCACCCAGTCATGTGATCAGCAAGCCACACCACCAGTCACGTGACCAGTAAGCCACACCCACCCAGTCAGGTGACCAGCAAGTCACACCCTCAAATTAGGCCACACCCACAGAAATTTGAATCTCTCCCCTGGGTGGGGGGGCATTGAGGATAAGTTTGTAGCACCAAGGGGGCGGTGGACTGAAAAAGTTTGGGAACCACTGTCTTAGACTTTAAAACAGTTGATTTTAACAAACCAAGAGACAGCTTGGGAAGGATTCCATGGATGAAAATCTTAAAGGGGAAAACAACTCAAGAAGCTTGAGAAACTCTGGCTGCCTAAACCGAGGGATAGAATCATAAAGTATTAGTGCCAATTTATAATCCTTTGGTTAAGATCACACTTGGATCACAACTGCAACCAGTTTTCATCAACACAATATTAAAAAAAGGTGTTTGAGACTCTATAAAAAGCACAGAGAAGAGCAATAGGGATAATTAATGGGCTGGAGGCTAAACCATATAAAGGAGGGTTACAGGAATTGGTATGTCTAGTCTAGTGAAAGGAAAGACTAGGAGGGTCACATGGTAGCAGTGTTGCAATACTTGAGGGGGGTCAACTTATTTTCCAAAGCACCAGAAAGCAAAACAAGAACAAATGGAACAAAACAAGGAGAGAAGCAACCTACAACTAAGGAAACATTTCCTAACAGTGAGAACAATTAGCCAGTGGAACAGAATGGCTGCAATTTTCTGCTGCCTGGATGATTTAAAAAGTTTCTTTTGAGTTAAGGTTGGTTCTTCGGGAATGACCTCCCTCCAGAGGCTGTGGGTGTTCCTTCACTGGTGGCTTTGAAACAGAGACGGGACAGCCATTGGTCTGAAATGATATTAAGACCTCCAAGGTTCTTTGCAGCTATGTTACTTTGTCACAGTCCTCCAGTGATGGGAGCCCCCACAACCTCTGGAGGGGAGCCATTCCCAAAGGATCCACCTTCAACTTGAAAGAGGCTTTTGAGATCTTCCCCCCAGCAGAAAATTGCAGCCACCAGTTTCACAGCGTGCAGCCCCAGCGGGCTCCGATCTGGGGAGGGAAGGAACCTGCAGCTGACACGCTTCAGACCAGTTGCTTCTCTGCTTCCAGGCCGTGGAGGGAACCGAATTTGCTCTCGGATTCTCCCCCCACCTGAGGTCCCCAACTCACTTACCAGCTGCTGCTTCGATCCGTGGACGAGCACAGAAGCCGCTCTACACACCACCTTCCTCCCATGAGCCATCCGGAAGAGGAAGCTCGGCGAACTGGACTTTCGTCTACTCTTCCCGTCGCCTTCCAACCTTTCTAGCAGTACAGTACTCGATGGTTTTAACTCGTTTAAGCTCAACTACAGAAACCGCCGGCTGTATTGTCGGTTTTCTAGGCACAAACGTTGCCTGTTTGACCACTAATCTCCAGATAGGCAGAAAAACACGCTTGTCCCGTCTCCACCTAAGGCGCTTGCAACATATTTCCACTGATTAAAAGCTATTAAGTCGTTTTTGACTTCGAGCAACCGACCTTTTGCAATTGAGCCAAGTGAAATAGTGAAATGGGATGGGATCTTACTAAGATTAGTTATGAGCTCAGCCCTAAAAGTTGATGTTTTGACAGAATCAGCTTTTTTAGAGGTGACTCTCAGTGAAGATCAAAAATCTCTACATCCCAAAACTTTAAAGCTGATTTCCTGTGGCTCCCAAGCAGAGGTGGTATTCAGCAGGGTCTGACCACTTCTGGAGAACCGGTAGTGGAAAGTTTGAGTAGTTCGGAGAACGGGCAAATACCACCTCTTACTTGAGATTTTACAGTATCCTTCCCCTGCCACGTCTACAGAACCGATAGTTTAAAAAAATTGACTCCCACCGAGTCCCAAGATTTTAGGACATGGCAGCAGCATCAGGTCAAGACACCCCAAGGCAGTGCTATTGCTAAGGTTTATAAACTGTAATTAACTTGGGGGATGAGTATGTAAAGGTGTCTATGATTCAGTGGGCAAAGAACTTTGGATGTAATATAATACTTTGAACAATGGGAGAATGTGTGGATGAAACCTCTAAAATTCACATCAAACTATCAGAAAACTTTTAAAAGATCACATACTGTGTGTATCTAGCACTGGACATATTGTCCAGAATGTTAAAAGGCACCTCAAATAAATGTTGGAAATGTAAAGAAGAGGGTTTTTTTTAATCATTATGGTAGGCACATGACAAAACAAATATTGAAGTATTGTTCCTCTGCCATTGCTAAGCAAATCACTGTGGGTTGTGCAAGGCAATTTCACATTTCAACCTGCAGCTTCCTGCTGGTATCCCCACTGGTTTTGCTTCTCAGAAGTTAGGTGGGGATCCTGAAGATGGGATGCTGCGACCATCATAAATGTGCACTGGTTGGCAGAACCCTAATTGGTGCAACACCTTTTCCTGCACCTTCCTAAACCACAGGAGCTGCAGACGTGGTCACTGAGCAAGTGCCAGATTTGGGGATCAGGTGTACATCTGCTTACACAGTGCCATTGTAACTTTGAAGGCTCAGGAAACAAATGGTAAGCGAGGACTACCTATACAAACTGAACATCACAAAAGGTCCTCAAGAGCTATTGTTTGGTTGCAACATGGATGGGCACCAATAGGAAATACCATGCTTTTTGGCTAGACACGAAAGTAAGAAAAACAATCATCTCAGAAAAGACAGTGGCAGATCCTTCCGAGTTTTTTTTTAATTTTTAAAAAAAATATATAACAAAAACAATAAAACAATCTTTCAATGATACAGTGTATCGACTGAGTACATATATCTTGTGCACATCATAATATTTGTATACATTTCTTACTGAGTTTACATTCATATTATAACCTATTCAGCATTATAGTATATCATTATTATAGTGTCATTTAATTTTCTTGCTTTATTTTAGTCCGAGAACGTTGCCAAAACAACAGCAAGTCCATAACAGAACAACAGAACTGGAAGGGATCTTCTAGTTTTATCCCTTGCTTGAGCAGGAGGCCCTGGAGAAGCTAATAACTTTGTCATCCAAAAGATGAGGATGGGAATAAGAGGATCAGCTATACTGGACTTGATACTTACTAACAGAAAAGAAATGAAAGAACAACAAACAGCTGGAGGCTAAAACATAAGAAGGGGGGCTCTGGGTTCAATTCCTTCTCCAGAGCATCTGAAGGCAAAACAAGAAACAGTGGATGGAAATGAATCAGGGAGAGAAGCAACCTGGATACAAAGACACATTTCCTGACTGTGAGAACAATAAACTAGTGAAACTGTTTGACTTGAGAAGTTGTAAATGCTCCAACACTGAAAATTTTTAAGAAGAGGTTGGATAACCATTTATCTGAAATTATATAAAGTCTCCTGCTTCAGCAGGGGGTTGGACTAGATGACCTCCAATGTTCCATCCAACCCTGTAATTCTACATTGTAGTATCTAGTTGCTTCTCTGCTTCCACACCATAGAGGAAACCAAACAGCCTTACTTGCTCCTGGTCTCTCCTCTGACCTGTCCTCAACTCATCTTCCAGCTATTGTTTCAACCAGAGGTGGGTTATTCAGCAGGTTCTGACCAGTTCTGGAGAACCGGTAGCAGAAATTTTGAGTAGTTCGGAGAACAGGCAAATACCACCTCTGATTGGCCCCACCCCAATCTATTCTCTGCCTCCCGAGTCCCAGCTGATTGGCTGGGTCTTCTTTGGTTGGCCTGCACAGGAGAACGGAGCTGGAAAGCAGGTGAGTGGAGTGGGGAGGGAATGGGGATTTTACAGTAACCTTCCCCTGCCACACCCACCAGCCAAGCCATGCCCACAGAACTGGTAGTAAAACAAATTGAATCCCACCACTGGTTTCAACCCTGGGAGGAGCACGAGTTTTTGATCAGTGTCCCTCTGACACTTCCTTTTTTTTATTTTTTTTATTTTTAAAAACAAAATTACAAATCTCTATTTACATTAATAGCATTGTGTCATTAGTAATACATATATTTGCTTTTATACCTATACATCAATTCTTATTTCTATATTCTACCCATTTGGCTGGTTACTTTTTACTGTTCTACCATCGAGAGCATTTTGGCATACTGTGTAACAGTGTGGTATGCTGGATGCTCTGCAGTGGATAAGAAGATGCTCCAGAGAGTTATAAACACAGCACAAAGAATCATCGGTTGCTCTCTTCTTTGGAAGAGATTGCAAAGACCAGACTCCTCTCTAGAACACTAAAAATCTCCACAGACCGCTCTCATCCTGGTCATTCATATTTCGAACTGTTACCATCAGGGACGTGTTATAGGTGTCTTAAAATGAGGACTAATAGACTGAGAAACAGTTTCTTTTCCAAGGCAATAATTGTCTTGAATCAAACAGCGCATTTGTGATCTAGTCCTATGTATACAGTGGTATTTTTAAACCGTTTAACTTACTAAATGTTTTAGATAGGTTTTAGACTAGGTTTTTTATTTTTATTTTTATTATTATTTTAATTATTTTAATTTTTAAATACTTGTGGTGTGATTGTGATGTGGTGTTTGGGGCACTGTGCTGGAGTAGCTTTCAAATTTCATTGTATTCGTGGAAGAGACTCTGGACCCAGTTGACTTTTTCTATTCTTTATTTTCTTCTAGGATTGAGCTGTGGAGAAACCACAGCAGCCTTTCTTATAGCCAGCTGCTCGCGGCTCGTGGCCAATGACGGCTCTTCAAATCTCCCACCGCCACGTGTCTCCTCCAGTTCCTCCCATCCTCGGTGTCTACCCTGTATGACCGGGGCCAGTTATGTGGGTTATTTTTTCCAGTATCCACAATGGTTCCCCCATGAAGTTCTTTGCATAAACTAGATCCCCTGTTTTGAATGTGCAGCACTTACTGGAGGAGTCTGCTGGCTTTTCTGGGCTATATGTGGGTTGTAGTCTGTCTAGGTTTGATCTTAGTTTCCTTCCCATTAATAATTCTGCTGGGCTTTTATTTGTTGTGGTGTTGGGTGTCATGTGTTGTATACTTAGTAGTTTGTCTATCTTTTCTTGTATATCCCCAGGTCCCAATTTGTGTAGTGTTTCCTTTGTGTAATGGACCATGCGTTCCGCCCGTCCGTTCGTGGCCAGATGTCCCGGCGCTGTTAGTGCATGCTTATTCCTTGTTCTGCTAGGAACCCTCGAATGTTGTTGCTGTGAATTGTGGTCCGTTGTCGGATACAATTAAATCCGGCAATCCATGTGTTGCAAAAAGTTTCCTTAGTTGTCTAATTACAGCTTCTGTTGTGGTTGAGTGCATGATGCTTACCTCTAGCCAATTTGAGTGAGCATCTACGACTATTAAGAATGTGTGTCCTTTAGTTGGTCCTGCAAAATCAATGTGTATGCTAGACCATGGTCCCCTAGGTGTTTCCCATTCGTGTATAGGTGCAGAGGGGGGTGTAGGTCTAGATTCCTGGCAGCATTTGCACCTTGCTACCCAGTCCCCTATGTCTTTATCCATCCCTGGCCACCATACATAACTCCTAGCCAGGGATTTCATTCTGACAATGCCCAGGTGACCCTCATGTAATAATTCAAGTATTTGTTTCCTTAAATTGTTCGGTATAACTACCCTATCCCCCCATAGTATACATCCCTTTAAAATCGATAGTTCTGTTTGCCTATTTCAAAATGGTTTGACAGTCTCATCGCTTGCAGTCTCTGGCCAACCTTTACCTACCCAATTTTAAAATTCGTGCCAGGTTTCTGTCTCTCGCGGTTTCCATAGCAAAGTCTGTTGCTGATATGGGTGGGTTTTCCAATGTCTCGATTTGAAGGGTTGATGTGGTTGGTGCAGGATCGTCGTCTAAGTTGGGTAGGGGGCAATGGCTCAGAGCATCAGCGTGTGTTATGTTCTTTCCTGGTCTGTAGATTAAATTGTAGTTATAGGCAGCTAGGAATTCGGACCACCTCGTCATTCACGGTGACAGTATGTTAGGTGTAGCTTTGTTTCCTGCGAGGATTTCTAGGAGAGGTTTATGGTCTGTGACAAGTGAAAAAGTTCTGCTGTAGATATACTCATGGAAACGTTTTATTCCTGTTATTGCGGCCAATGCTTCTTTGTCTAGTTGGCTGTAATTCCGCTCCAGTTTAGATAGAGTTTTTGAGTAGAATGTGATAGGTGCTTCTCTTCCATTGGGTAATACATGGCTGAGTATGGCACCAACACCGAATGGTGATGCATCGCATGTTAATGTTATTGGAAGTGTCTCGCTATATTAG